TTTTTTCATCCAACATCATTCAACAATTTTTAAGATCATTCCAACGGATACCCAGCGCGAAACCTAAACCAAATTTGCTATATACCAATTCTCCCTTGGAGAAAACAACACGCTTTACGCAAACCAAAGTGCTTTGGTAGGCCAAAAGGAAAGCCCCCCAGCCACCAAGTCAAGGCTCCGCAGCCCGCTACCGGGTCCTGTCCGCAGCTGGACTAACTATTCCATCAGCTCTCGAAAACATGGAGGGCCAAGAGTCACAAGTCAAGACATTAATTCACCAACCAATGTACGTTCGGACTATTGATTTTGAAAAGCACGTGACACATATGAAAAGGCTTTTCAGTTCAAGGTGCTGTGATCAATCAACGGAAAAGAGTCTTCAGCATTACGGTCAGTGAAGCATGTTCCTTTTGTGTGTGTGTGTGGGGGGGGCTCTGAAGACCCCACTTTCACTGGAAGGTCCTGCTATGCAGGGCCCTAATCTCTTTGCAATGACGATGGAACATGTGGTTCATTGATGTTTGTTGGAGAAGTAATCCAGTCCCCCTAATAAAAAACGCCCCCCCCCCCTAATAAGGAAACCTCGGTCGCATTTTTTTAAATAGGGGGTCCCTGAAATCGAGGGGTCCAAAATAGGGTCACCTGGGAAGAGCTTCAAAACCAAAAAGTAAATCAGTAAAGTTTTATATAAAATCCTTTATTAAACTCGTATCAAACATGCAAAAAAGCTCCAGATCGAAGGGTCTTCCTTTTCCCCTACAAAAACCTTCATTAGAATAGTGATTCTTCAGTAGACTAACAGCTAAAGCTTTCGAAAGGTGATGTCGCTGTGCCATGCGGTGTTGCATGACCTCGGTGGCAAGTGCGTTTGCGTGAGTCCGTGCCATTGGGGGAAGGAAAGCCTGCTGGTGCAAGCGCGGCGTGTCATGGTGGATAGACACGGCGGACAGCGGTGGGCAGTTACGGTTGCTTTTGGAACCTAATAAAGAAACTCCTCCAAAGTCGGCAATGTTGGTAGTTTAGTAGCGGCTTGAAAGGGCGGTAATTTAAAAACAAACATAAACCGTATTTAGGGGTTTCCGACATGACTTTTTTATAGCCTTTTGACTTGGACCATACTTGCCACACTTCACCCCCACCAGTTACCACCCTCAATTTCGCCTCCAGACTACGCCTGGCGACTGCCAACCGGAGCGCAATCTACAGCGTCTCTTGGTGGATTGGTATCACAGATCTGGACTCCAACCACCATTGATTTTTGTCCTTACCGAACCAGCATTGTTTACCGACTGCAAGGACGGACCAATATAGGCCAACCATGTTCAAGATGTTCTTGGAGGGGTAAAGATGTGCTTCTTTTTGCATCACCATGGAACCCCCGAACCAGCTTTGAAAGTTGGGAGGCCTCCCTTCGCGAAAAACCCGTGAAAAACTCCTGGATGAAGGAAAATCAACCAACACGTTTTATACATGGTCATTTGCTTTTCATCGCCCTGAGGTCTTGATCCTTCCTTCGCTGCTGAATGTCCTCTCCGTGGTGATGGAGGGCCACATGGCTCAGCAGGTCCGAGGTGGTCAGCGGTCCCTGCTTCAAACAGTTTCTTTGCCTAACCCAGTGGATGCAGGCAAACCACGTAGGTAGCTCTAGTGGTTCCAAAGACTCAAGCTATGTTCAAACTCTGGTTCCTTATGGTAACTGGGATCCGCTGGGTAAGGTTATCCTTTGCGACCCATTTATCGAGACCATGTCAATGTCTCTATATTAAAAACATTTAAAAAAAAACGGCAAGTGACTCCAGTGTCTACGCACGGAGGATACTGGGAACCAGACGAAAAGAATCAATATGCGTTTGCTCATGCGCGTTTCAAAAAAAAACAGGAATCAGACTGCACAAGTTCCACATTCAACGCTTCGGACGCATTGGAAGCAAAATCTGGGCTTCCTCCGGGCCTGCCAGGCCCTGTCCACTGAGCACTCTGGAAGAAACGAATTGCAAGAAAATGACCACCAAAGACAGGTGACACTATGAGACGCTTCACATCAGACTGGTGGGGTTTCGTTCTGATGATAGCTGTTTGGGGATCGGGTGAACTCCAAATCGAGGTGAAACGCGTCCTCCCTGGGGAACCGCCACGCGTCCCAATTTGGGTCGGAAGGCACCCGAGCTGAGCTCAGGTGGCGACACGTCCAAGTCAGCGAGCAACACGTGCCAATCCCAGGGTCACGTGCCGTCCGATCATTGCAAGTTTGCTGTGAATTGAAGGAGGGCCCCACTACCGACTTAAATGCCATGTCAGATCATATGGATAAAATATAGTCGACAGTCACATCCTAGTCACTAGTCTCCGTCCAATCCACACTAAAGAAGATAATAATACAGTAATCGCTCCATGATCCTTCAGTGCACCTGGGGGGTGCATATGACATGCCCAACGATTTTCCCGCTCACTCACTCTGAACTGAACCCCAGGATCGGGCTTGCCATTTATCCTCCCATGGCCTTTGGCATTTCCATCATCGCCTTTACCTTGCAGCTCGTGCGCGAGAAGGACCCCGCGGACCCCACGCTGCCCCCTCCGTCGGGTCACGGGTCTTGGACGTGGTGGATAAGAGCGAGGATGAGCGAGGAGAGATGAGGATGAAAAAGAGAGAAATAACATACACATTGACCCACACTACAAATCTCAACAACCTGGAACTGGAACTCACACTATTTCTAGAGGAAAGTCGTTTTTGGGAGGTTCTTTGCCAGACAGTCAGTGAGTCACAGCGTTTGGTAATGTACCGGAAGTCAGAGCGTTCGTGGAAAAGCCGCTCGAAGGAAGTGAAGACAAAGCACATCGCTTTGGCTCAGGACAGCTGTCGAACAAACTGCGCTTGGATGTTCACTGCTCGTGGCAGCCCGTTCTAAAGTGTTTCCTCCCCAGTTAGTGGGTAAACTTTAGCAGGTGGCCAAAAGGTAAACCTTGATTTTTCTGGGAAAACGGGTTGGGGAGTCAGTTTTATTTCGATCGGTTGGATGAAGGATGATGAAGGCAACAGCATGCAACAACTAAGCTCTCTCGCACGCTTTTGTTTTGAACAAGTTAGTGGAATGGAATCTGAGGCTTTTCCTTGGATCAGAGCCCGTTCAATTTGCCATTTGATCACCATCCTGCGGAAGAATACGATGCACATTAACCAAAAGAAGATATTCAAGGAATTTATATAGATCATACTTCTATAATCTTATATATATATATTATATGATTATATATATAATATGTATATAATATACTTCCCCATGTTAAACCAGCACGCAACCGCCCGCTTGGACCCGGCACCTGTCCCTTCATGGCCCGCTCCCGGCAGGGTCTGAGTATCCGGTCCTTCTGGCTCGGCACCATTATGGTCCGAACGCTCGGAGTGGAGAAAGGGGCCGCAGCGAAGAGATGGTCCAATGCGGCGTAGACATGCGCAAAAGCAGCGAAAGGCGCGTGTTGGGGAGGCCAGAAAGGTGGGTTTGTGAGGAGATGAGAAGAGTCCTGTTTTTCTACCCGTAGGGACCACCTGGATGAAAGAATCTTCCGAACGCGCACCTTGCATATGCTCCTTGACATGCTGCAAAATTGGAAGCTACGTGCGATGAACGGACGCGTTTTCGCGTCCACGCCGATGGCCGGTGGTTTGGGCGTCCGCGACGCGTTACCGTTGGCGTTGATCCAGCTGAGGCCCATTACTTGGCCAGAGCCTCAGGGCGGTCAGGTTCCAGGTCAGTGCTTGTTGGTCAGGTTCGGGGTTTCGGTTGGTGCGATACTCTGCGACCGATTCTTGGGTGTGTGAAACACATGGCTCGGTACACCCCAGATGGTGTTTTCTCGATACTGCTGAAGCTTTTTGCGCATCAAAGATGCGCATGACGTCATTGTGTGCCTTTGTCACACATGATGGGTTTGTGATGGTCTGTGGAGTTTGCATGTTTTTGCTTGGGTTTGGGTTGTGGATCAGATGCGCAGTCAAAGTGCACCATTTGGACAGAACTGACAGAATAGCCAGGGAATGTGGCAACAAAAATGACTGCATTGCAGCGACATGCCGACAGCTTGGCATTTAAGCTGCAGGAAACATGAAGTCAGGAGCCAACACAAGTGGGAAAACCAGTTTGTATGTTTTTGTATTTTTGCATCTCAAGTCCAACATGAAGTCCCACAACTCCCCAAACTTCCCTTCAAAAAGCTTTGGGGATTTGCTCCAAATTCGCAGGGTTCCAACCGTCGGAAGACCTCCCTCCAGCGTCCTCCAGCGTCCTCGGCATCCGATGGACGAGTGGCTGCAGAAGGCCCTGCACCTTCGAGGCTCCGCGCGGGACTTCCTCCGCGCCGCGCCGGGCCACGTGCAATGCGACCGGGAGGCGACGCCGGCCAACGCAGTCGCGGAGCCATGTGGTTTGTTTCGGTGTTTCGTACCCGTTCTCACTCGAGAAGGCTGCTGAACAGAGAATAAACCAAGATAAACAGATACGGCTATGATAAGGATTTGTAGCACATGACCAGGGACAAAGACAAAGCTGTGATGATTATGTTTGTTTCTAATGAACCGCCAACATTAATGATGGGGCATCTTCGTGGACAGGTGGTGCTTGTTTTGGTGAAAAGAGATGGCTTGGCATTGGAGTGGGCCGCGGAAAGCCTGAAAGCAGATCGTGAAGTGGTGTTAGCAGCAGTTCGCAAGGGTGCCTTTGCATTGGAGTATGCTGCGAGCAGCCTGAAAAGGGATCGTTCTTTCATCCTGGAGGCTGTTCAGTGCAATGGCTATGCACTGGCATGCGCGCCTAAGTTCCAAGGGGATCGACAAATCGTTGAAACCGCTGTGCGTGAAGACGGCAGTGCCTTGGAATATGCGTCGGAGGAGTTGCGCCGCAACAAGGACCTGGCACTCATCGCGGTGGAGAACGACTCGGCCTTGGAGCATGTGGCAGAGCTCCTTTGGAGCGACCGGGCCTTCGCGGCGGCTGCTGTGGCCAAGAACGAAGCCGCGGTGGAACATCTGCCCAGCCAGTTCCTCTCAGACCGAGCCTTCCTGTTGGACGGCGTGGCTGCCAATCCCCACGTGTTGCTTCGCCTCGAGAACGCCAATCCTTCGGTCATGGGCCCGGAGTTGATGGTGCAGGCCTTGCGCCGCAATTGTGGGTGCTTCGGGCTTTGCTTCAAGGAGAAACCCAAGTGGTTCTCGAAGGACATCTTGGTAGGGGCCCTGAGCGCGAAGCTGCTGCAAGAACTCCACAGCCATGCTCCAGAACTTTTGGATCGAGATTTTCTGCGCTCAGCCGTGGAGGTGACACCAGAGGCATTGTGGTATGCAGACTCAACTTTGAAAAGTGACACTGAACTTGTGAAGGCCTTGTCGTGCAGAAGAGCTGAAAGCTTACAATACGCTGATGCGGAGCTTCGCAGCAACCAGAAGTTCCTGCTGGCCCTCATCGAACAGAATGGGGCATGTTTGAAATTCTGTTCGGAGGCGCTGCTTCAGAATCATGACTTCAACCTGAAAGCACTTCAACAGAATAGTTTGGCTCGAGATCACGTGGATGCAAAACTTTGGGCTGACACGTCCTTTGTGTTGAAAGCTTTGGAATGCTTAGAGATCTCAACGAGGACTGCCTTAGAGAAAGTGGGTACCAAGCACCCTGAGCTCTTAGCTGATTGGAACTTTGCGCTGCAGGCCGTTGAGAGGAGAGGATCGGCCCTGGAGTTTCTGAGTGCATTCTACCAAGATGATCGAGCTGTTGTCTCCGTGGCCATGGAAGATGACCCTCAAGCCCTGGCCTTTGCTTCACCCCTTTTGCGGGAGGATCGGGTATTGGTCCAGTCAGCCCTCAGAAAGGATGGTTCTGTTTTGAGCCACGCTGGACCTGGCATCCAAGACACTGTCACTCTGGTGTTGGAAGCGACCAAGACCACTCCCTCCGCCTTTCAGTTTGCGTCTGAACGGGTCCGTAAAGACCAGGATGTGGTGTGGCAGGCATTGAAGATCTCGCCACAAGTTCTGGCATTTTCCCCGCTGGCAGCTGATGGCAACTTTGTCTTGAGTGCAGCTATTCACTTCGAAGCTGCAGTCCAATTTGCCGCTGAGGCATGGTCGACCATCTCCGAAACCATGAATGAATTCCACTTAAAATCTATGAGAAATCATTCATAATAACATGCAGAAGGGCGGTTTTCAGTGTACAGTGTACATCTCTCTTTGCGTCTCTCCACCTTCCCACATGCCAGTCCCATGCTGGTCCCCTTTTTGCCTCCTGGGTCAAAAGAACACCTGTCACTCTCAAGTCGCTTCGCAAGCTCTCCATCTGCCGAACTCATGTTCAACTCCTTGCGCCGCAAGACAAAGGTGTTGCTCAGCGATTTGGGCTTTTGCTTGTCCTGCGTGGCACAGAACTGCGCTGTGCTCAGCTTTTTGCCCAACGAACTTCGCGCCTCCGCATCCTTCGTGGAGGACGGACGGAAGGGTGGTGGTCGTTCGGGTGGTCGGGCCCGCCCAACGGTTACGCTACAATAAGTACCAGCAAGCGGCGACAGAAGTACAGTGACAAGAGTACAAGCAAAGCAAGTTGGTAGATGTTGGCAGGAGGCACACCAAGATTAGTTCTTTCTTTTTGGCTATAGGTGTTGGGAATGAGTACAGTCTAGAACTTGGCTCAGAAGGGTGATGTAACCCTTTCACCCTCTCTCACCAATAGAAGACGAGTTTGAATCTCAGATTGGTTGGGCAAGGTGCAACATTCAACCGCATGTGCCGCATGTATCATTGAAGATCAATTCAAGTGTTTGCCCATGTGGCTTGCAACTGCCTGCAGGCCGCGGTCAGAGCCAATGGCGAAGCTCTCTACTTTGCGCCACAGCACTTCCAGTCGGATCCATCGCTGATTCGGTTGAGCGACAGGAATTCCGGCGCAACCTATCCCTCCATTTTGAGCCGCGACGCCGAGACACTACAGCAGCACGGGGTTCCACTCGAGCGACTGGGTGGACCAGTTCAGGCGGTTGCTGCTGGGAATCGGGTTCTGAGTGCTTGGGAGCGTTTGGAACGACTGTCTCCCAAAGCTTTGCAGGAGGAATGCTCCATGCGAGGTTTACCTGAGGCGTCTTTGGAGTGGTACGGCGCCGATTTCCTGATGGTGCGCTTGAAGAAACTGGTCCTTCTGCAGGAGCTGAGCGTTTGAGTGGATGAATGCCGGACACTCCATGCATGGAATGAATGTACCTGCATACTCACCCAAGATCAAGCATATGCATGTCACCAATCCATGCAAACATGAACTGGCCAGCGGCGTATGATGGCGTATTAGGTATTTTGCCGGGGATCCTCGGGCAGGAGCTGCCGCTGCAGGAACTCAGGCGCTCTGTCGATGTGACCGGAAGCAGCGCCAACGCCAACGCCATGCATTCGCTACGGGTCGGTTCCTCTGTGCGCGTGGTGGAAGACTTCTTCAGCATCGGCAACGTGAAGTTGAAGCAAGGACCCAAGACCTTTGTTTTCACGACCTTTTATCAAATGGTGAATCGTGAAGCCGTTTTGGTATGTTTTTGGATGTTTTCGGCCCCAAGAATGTAGGTTTCGTGAGAGTCAGTCAGCGCATTGGGCTCGTTTGGGCTGAACTGATCAGATTCACCTGGCTTCCTGACATGCCGCACGCGCAGGACTCGTGGGAAAGGTCATGATGATTGATCAGATGGATGCAAAGATCGACTTCAGAGAACAAAACACCAGTGCTGGAACCTTTGCAGCTCAATGGGTCTATCAGAAGGACTTCGTCAAATTGAAGGTCGAGGAAGATGAGGCGACGAAAAACACGTGAACAAGCGTCGCTGTTGGACCTTTACACAAGCATTATAGGATGTTACAGGTATCCTGGGCTCCGGCCGATTCTTTTGTCCCTTTTGCCAGGAGGGGCACAGCATTCTGCTCAACGAGCACATGATCGATTTGTTCGCAGGCCTGCTTCCAGGTCGTTCGCTGGTGGACTGGTCAGGCTCCAGGTTGAACGACCGTAGCTCTTCGGTGTTGTTCCTTTAAGACTGCGCCCCGGAACCCTCCGGAACGGTTCCAAGCCGACTCGCCTCGCCGGACTGAGGCGTCTACGAACGGAAGGGCGTCCCGGTGAGAAGTTTGCAAAGTTTTCCAGCGGCCAGTACCGTTCTTGAACGATGGGAAAGCACCTTGGCCTCAGAGTTCGGTAGATCAGATCCCTGAGGGCCCTTGGCCCATATCCCAAAACAACAGCATTTGAGTTCACATTTCCAAGCGAACTTTGATGCAGAGAAGCACCAGGGACTGAACAATGCTGCTGAAGGAGTGCGTTTGCTTGTAAATGCTTTTGCCAGGTGCAACATGACAATCACACGTGCAGAATAAACATACCAACTGCACACGGGTGTATGTGCTGCATTTTGCTGCACAGGTCTGGCCGACATGCAAGACAACCAGATGTCCACAGAGTTTTTGAAGATCTTTGGTATCGGACCAGGCTGCTTGTCCCAAGTGTCATGTCCCAACCCTTTGATTCACAGAAGGACAAGCCAGTTTCATGTTGATCAAGTTCATTCAAGTTCCCCTTTTTGCCGGGCATGCAGGCTCGACCGTGCGCCGGGATGCTCAAGAAGCCGCGTTGCGGAGTGCTGAACTTTGGCGGGAAATGCCCTTGCCGCAGCTCTTGAAGGACCGGGCAGAACTTTCATGGTCGATCCAGGATGTTCCACATGCACGGAAAACGGTTTGCACTAGATCATCTTAAGTCTTAGATCTACTGACACAAGTCATAACTAATAATGTATGTCTTTCATACAGAAGACATGTGCATATAACATCATATAACAATAATATAACTATATTTGCATTGGCCTTTTTTAGAGAGAGAGAGAGCGCGGGCGGGGGAGAGAGAGAGAGAGAGACAGCAAGTGAGATGCCCCAAAGTCGGTCCTTTTTTCAATACCGACGGACCGAACTCAGTTCACCTCTCAGTTCTCGTCCGGGACGACCGAGGAGTGCGAGGCGCGGCGCCTTGGAGTGCCGCACGTGGCGCTGTCGCACGGGCAGCTGGCAGATGAGCTGCGGGAGCGATTGCTGGGGAGTTTGTGCCAGGTGGGGTGGAACTCGAAGAGACGGTGAGACGAATGGAAACAAAACATACACCTGGAGTCTCAAAGTACCTCGGAAATTGGGTACAAGTGCTTGTTTTTTATGGGGTCATGTCCCATTTTCGAAGGTACGTTGGAGGGTCCAGGTACGAAAAATATAGACCAGGAAATCAATACTGATGAGTCTGGTGGGCAATTGATTTGAATGGATTTGATCATGTTGGGAGTGGAGATGTGTGGCAAGAAGTGCATTTTGAGCGGAATATATAGTGAGAAACTGAGCATAAGGTGAGCGGGCCGGCTGATACTTTGTCCGTGAAATTGGTCTGAAAGAGCTCCGGTTTGCGTGTTGAGCTGAGCATGCTTGCAAGGACCTCTACAAAGCAGAAGGCTTGGACTTACAAGCCGCTTGGAGTTCAGAAAGCTGAGTTGGCATGGGTGTTAGTTTCCAACCGGTGACTTTGATGATAACATAGCATACCATTGCTTTGCAAGTCCTTCCCTGTCTTTTTGTGGGGTTGTGCTCTCCTTGACAAGCACTGCGTATTTGCTGTTCCTTTCGGAAGTGCACATGAATGTCACATGAACAAACCACTTTGGAAACGTGATCCAGACCCTTGGTCTTCGAGCAGCGGCCGCTCTCCTCCATGAATGGCACAATTTGGAGAAGGCAACCGACATCACAGGGATTGGAGGACCCTCCAAGGTTTCTGTCAAAAGTTCTGGCTTCGTTTCGAGTTGTGACATGCGGAGAATCGAGCTCTGAGCCTCAGAGATCCTCAGAGAGAACATTGTCACAAGTGCCCATAGGTGAGGCCGCATGTTGCAATGCGTCTTCATTCTTCAGTCATCCGTCATGGAAACGTGCGTGTGTTGTGAGCACCCGACCTGGCTGGCAGTTGCCTGTGAATCAGCTGAACGAGAGATATGCATCGCTCAAATTGCCACCTTCAACGATCAGCTGCTTGACTTCAACATTGGCCAAGTTTTTGCACATACCAGCAGCAGAATTCCACGCCTGCCTATCATAGCCTCTCGTTCTTTTTGTGAGTAGGATAAGTCGAGGAGTTCTTATATAGGTCCTTCTGAAGATATAGCTGGATCCAGGATGGACGGATGGACTTCCTAAAGCCGAAACACCAAGAATCAATCGCACGCTCAACTCTCATCTGATTCGAGCTACACACCTTCCTTGGATTCTTTGACAGGTGAGGGTTGTTAGATTTGACATCAGCCCCATCTCCTCTTTCTTCTCCTTCTCCTCCTTCTCCTTCTCGTCCTCTGCCTCCTCCGCCAGACCTCAACCACGACCAACGCCCAGTGTTCCTTGCCGGACCTCAACCACGACCGTCCACGCCCAGTATTCCCTGCCGGACCTCAACCACGACCATCCACGCCCAGTGTTCCCTGCCGGAC